TGGAAATTCTACTGATGATCCGCAGGAAATACGTGAGTTTTCTAACTGGTTACTAAAGGTTGGTGAAGGTAGGATTTCAGAACCAAATGATGGTGAAGCAGAAATTGAGTTCCCAGAAGATGTAATTATCCAGGAACCGGGAAATCCTATTGAGGTTATTGTCAATACTATATATCCAAACTTGCTGGATAATTTGAAGGAACCAGGTTGGTTTCAGGAAAGAGCTATTCTTGGACCTACACATGAGGTTGTTGACAAGATCAACAATTACATGGTTGAATCGTTGCCTGGAGAAGAACAAGAATATCTAAGTTTAGACATTATCTGCAACTCTGAAAATGCTTCTAGACAAATATCAGGAAATGCAGGTACTTCTGAACAAACAACAGGACCAAGGTCTGAATCTGATCAAGGAGTATATAGTCCTGAATTCCTTAACAGTGTAGAGGCTTCAGGTCTCCCTAATCACAGATTGGTTTTGAAAAAGGATGTTCTAATTATATTGCTACGTAATGTTGATCAAAGGAATGGTCTTTGTAATGGAACGAGGCTTCAGATTACACGTATGGGACATTACGTGATAGAGGGTAGGGTCATCTCAGGCAGCAACATTGGCCATGTTGTGCCTATTCCTAGGATGGACATTGTTCCTACTGATAATAGTATCCCGTTCAGACTGAAGAGGAGACAATTTCCTATAGCAGTCTGCTTCGCAATGACTATCAACAAAAGCCAAGGACAGTCCCTATCTACGGTTGGTCTATACCTGCCTCGACCAGTGTTCAGCCACGGACAACTATATGTGGCACTATCAAGGGTGACAACTAAAAAAGGTTTGAAGGTCTTGATTTGCAACTGTGACGGTTCGCGATCAAATCGCACAATGAATGTTGTTTACAAGGAAGCTCTATGTAATGTAATGTAGAGTGGGTTATTCATTTAAGATGTTTTAGATTTAAACAATTTCAATTCTATGAATTTATATACATTTTCAATATATTCATTCAGCTAACATATACTTCACCATCAGATTAAAACACAATTCACAGTTACCATCATTAAAATTACTCAGTTATAATTGAATTTATTTATTGTAACGAGTAATTAAGAAATATAATGTTTATCTTTACAGTACACTGTAAATACAATTTTGGAAAGGATATTTTATTCTAAAAAAAATACGTAATAATAAATACTGATCCCTACAAATTAGGGTTAACCCTAATTATATATATTTAATTCCTCAGACACCCATCATTCAAACTACTATAAACCACTGTTCCCATTCACATACAGGCAGTCAATACACGTTCCTGAATACGAAGCTTCAGAAGAAAGGTTGCAATTTATAAGAACTGTAATACGACTGTTTTAGTACATCCTTCAGTACAGAGATATTCAAAATTCCATAGATCCTTCAGTTTTTATATTACATATAGATATAATCTATGGAAGAGGCTTATGATCAATTGATTAGTGTACCAATAAACATCCGCAGGAAAGGATTGGTAAGCCTTTTTTCATTATTTATTTGTATTCTGATTATTATTGATTTTCACGCTTTCTTACTGACAAACATTATTTATATAAATTAACATATCCTCAGCAGCAACCTAACTTCAATTCTAAGACATGTTGGAAAATAGATCAAAATTCAATTTCAAGGGAACAGATTTTTTTTTGCAAACATACATATCACTAAGAAGAGGAGGTGTCAGATATATGGATCTAATCTGGAAGCATTTTTTCAGGAGTTTGGTGTATGTTCCAGATCCAAATTTAAAGTTGTTTATCACAAATCTTCTAATGTGATACATTTATTTCATTTTACATATGATGGATGTGAAAGGATTCACACAGATGTCAATGCAAATACTGGTAATCGCTATTTACTGAGTTTAAATGATAGCACATCCAAACAAGCTGTAAGTCTTTAGATTCTTCATTTTCGATTCCTGCTTTTCCATTGTTATCTTAACCTTTTAATGTAAATATACATTTTATAATATATAGTATCAGGACTACCAATAACTGAGATTCAATTACAGGTTATCGAAAAACGTTTCTTTTATGGTATTGATTGGCCTTCAGAACTAACCACAGCAAACTGTATTGATCTGAAGCGCAATCAATGGAAGTTCATGGTCATGAAGGTAAATAATGAAACAGTAGGTTTTGAAGGGCCGAGCTGGGAGATTTTCATGACTATTATTACAATAGTCTGAAATATGTCAATGTAATTGTTGTCTACACTGGAAATCTGTTATTCCATTTAAGGCTTTACAGCAATGAAGGCTACTGTTGCAACCTAGACATTGTTGCTTCGGATACATCTGAAGGTTTGTATTTTATAATCTTTCACCTGAGTAGTTCAATATCACAAATTTTATTATCATAATACAAATGTTAATAATAATCTAAGTTTATATTCAGGTGAAGTTGACACAGTAGATTATATCTGCAACAACGGTGATCAGAACACGTTTTCAGCAACCATGACTGAAACTGTGATTTCTCATAGCAGATTAGTAAGAACCATAGTATACCTACGAATTTACTACAAGTCAAAACCAATTTAATTATGAGTCAACTCTAAACTATTTATTTAATTACATTGCAGGAGATACCTTGGCATATAGTCCGAACACTAAAGTTAGAAGATTACACAAATGCTATTTTGTACTATGATGGAGTTGCTGCACTTAACATGCATCGAATTGTGATAAATGACAATCCATATCGGTTTGTCATTGAAGGTGATCTCAAGTACATGATGGATTTGAAGAAGATACCTTTGGGTATAACTTTAGGTTTTCGTATAGATGCTCGCAAGGCAGTTAATAAGGAATATCTGATCCTAGAAGTTTTGTAGGTGACACTATTTGGCATTCTGTTTTTGCATAGCATTATTATGATGCATGTTCATGACCTAATAATTTTCTGCACTGAATAAACTCTTTAAACCTCAAAATTCATTTGTATATTTATATATATATATATAATTGAAATTTTTGGTTTCTGGTTAACCAAAAACCAGAAACTTTGATGTGAAGAAACCAGAAATCTTTATTGGATGCAAATACTGGTAACCAAAAACCAGCAACCAAAAACCAGGAAATCTTTGCAATGAAATTTTTATCCATCTCAAATTGTAATAACCAAAAAGCTTGATTTGAAGAAACTATCTCACCTTTACTGGATGGTTGAGTTTTATACTCCCGTTGACCGTCCCAAAAACAGCAATAACAACATTGTAGAAACAGTAGCAGCTCCAATCCCAGCTCGAACACCAGAAAATTGACGAATGAAAAAAAAAAAGAAACGTAAGCTTCAAATCATCAAAATGGGATTTGACTGATAGTTTCATATATACGATTCAAATAAATCTGAAGCTAATAAGAGGTTGAATAAGCTATATTACCTTATAGATCTAAACCAGATTGAATGCATATGCATTCTAATGAATAATCCAGTTTTATTGATGCTGAAGCTCAGATTTTAGCTCAAACAAGAAGATTTCCCAACGACATACACAATCTAAGCTCACTTATGATAGATCGATGTTGGAAATCAAACTGACACCATAAGATGAAGAATCTTAAATTCCTCCAGATTTCAAAGACATTTTCAATCACAACATCAGATCTCACATTCGCAGTGTAAATGATTCGAGCAAAAATCCTAATCAGAGCTAAAAAATTTGGCAGTGGTTTGTATGGATTCGTTTGCTGCCCAAGGAAAGTATGCCGAACTTCGGTTTCTCCGAAGTGAAATACGGCTAATGAAAAAGTTAAAAGGGCCGCATTTTGATAAGTGGGGCAAAATATCCCTCGCATTTTCATTTCACTTTTTTAAAAAAAAATTCAGAAAAACGTAATTAGTTAAAAGGGCATTAAATGGGCTGCGTTTGGGTTTCTGAAGTACCACATTATAAAAGGCCTGGACTTGAATATCTAATGACCATCATAAACACAGAGATTTTAAATTTTGGGCCTTTATATGTTAAAGAATTTTAAACCACAAATTTAAAATTTCTTTAATTTACAAATTATTAAAAAAATTAAATGTAAACATTTTATACAATTACTCTATAATCGTCACATACATTTTATATCAACAAAAAATTCATGACCTATAATTTTTACTGTATCAAAAATAGCATTAACATGTAATAACAATGTCTTTAATAACTATTCATAATTAGTATTATTGTAATCGAATTTCAATCATTTACATGATTACATAAATTAAACTTATAGTAGATTTAATAAACTATTTGTAAGTCAAAATACATATCAAAGTTAAAAAACAGGGACCGGCCGGGCATCGCTCGGGCCAAGCATCTAGTATGCATTGTGGAAATTGATTTTTGCATATTCCGACTCCAATATCTTGTCTAATTAGATGTAGATAGTATTAGAAATCCATGGATCACTTATTTTAGAGGAATACCTAGACGGTAAAAGTAATTTTTTTAAAAAACTTAATTTAAAATCAATGCTGGGAGATTTGGGTTAATTGCTACAAAAGAAAAGTTGAGGTGGTTAATCTTTCATTTTATTGTTTTTTTTTGGGAAACCTTAATGCCAAAACAAAAATCAGGCCAAAACAACTTTTGTCTCATTTTAACTATAATACCCCTACTGAAAAACCTATAAAGTCATGTTCACGGAGGGTATTGTTGTCCAAAACGGTCAAAAGTTGTTTTGGCCCCTAATTTTTGTTTTGGCATTAAGGATTCCCGTTTTTTTTTTTTTTTTCTAATTTATCTCATGCTTTTTAGTTTTGGCTACGGTTCATGAATACATTTAAGGGATATTGTATGTAATCCTTTTTTTTTTTTTTTTTTTCTGTTCTAGTTTTTATTTTAATTTTCTTTATTGCACCATGACCCAACAATATTATTGTGACTTTGCCCATAATATGAAAACGACATGGGCAATTCTAAGATTATGTTTATATTTGAGGACTATTTTGAAACTTCGGCGACCGCGTCAAGAGAAAGAAAGAACAAAGAGAAATAAGTCAATTTTGGAGCTGATCTTCATCAACAACAAAGAAGCCAAAGCAGAGGAATTTCAAACTTCCATCCATGGCGATAATGGGCACCGCCAAGATAAACTGTCTTCGATACCCAGTTCATTTCTACTTACTCTTTTTCCTGTACCCTTTCATCGAAGTTCTTCCAGGTGGGTTTGTCCTCTCCTTCCCATTTTCCATTGGAATTTCTGCTGATTTTTGTTTTACCTGCTTTATTTTTCTGTGGAAGTTCTTTGAATATTTATACTACTCTGGTTTTGATTAAATCTTTTTGTACGTGGGATTTTAGTTGTATTGAGTTTGATGTGTTCGGAAAAAGATTAGTTTATGTGAAGCTGTGATTATCAAGCTTGTGTTTCTTTTTTTTATTTTTTTTTATTTTTTTTCTGCGTTCCGAACGTTGTTCCAAAGAATTTTTTTGGATGTTTATCTTCTGAGATTTACTTGTATGTCCTGATGGGCGAGCAGAGAGGTTCAATTATCTAGGGAAGTTTATTTACAGAGAAGTTCAGAAATTTTGAGCTGTGCTAATTTCGATCTGATAATTCAATAGTAAGAAAGAAAGCATGACTCTGAATGCTAACTTCCTGGCTTCAATTTGTAGTCTATCTTTCTCTGGTGTGACATTGATATGGATTCCTCTTTTTCCCCTTAGAACTCCTTGAATTCTTCATTCAAATCAGATGAAAAGGACTCATAATAGGTCGGTTAAATAATTGTTCCCAACCGTAATTATAGAAAAGGAATATGAGGATTCATGAAAGGGGTTAACTGACCTGATCCCTTATTTGTGTTTGATCATTCTTCTCTTTCGTTTGTTCGTTCTTATATCCGTTATCCCCTTAATTTGGGTCTGTTGTTTGGTTTTTCATAACTGGAGTCATTGGGGATCTTACAATTTTCAATGACCAAATTGCGGCATCGTTACAGAGCCATGATGAAATCATTATGCAGTGTAATTTGATGTGTATGTACTTCAGGATTGAGCTCACCCTGTCTATAGACTTTGTTGGAGAGGGTCTTGAATCTTAACTTATAGCTATCCTGTGACCATATTGTTGACTTTTGCGCTGTTGCTTTATCTGCTGTACTTTGTTGCAGGCTCGGCTGACGATTCAACATCTTCAAGTTCCAACACTGCAACCAATGCCAGTCATCATAATTCGTCCAGAAAATCTGTTGGAATAACCGTTGTCCTAGTATTTCTAGGACTTCTATCAGTCGTTGGATTTTCTGTTTTCCTGTTCAAGTTATGGCAAAGGAAAAGAAGGGATGAGCAGCAAGCCCGTCTTCTGAAGCTCTTTGAAAATGATGAGGATCTGGAGGTTGAACTCGGTATTCGGGATTAAAATGTATTTCAGTCCACCATGTTGTTTATTAACTGCTTTTAGTATGAATTGTGCACTGATGACGTTCTATTCTCGGGTACTGTGTATTTGCCGATTAAGAATGTGTTACTTGAGAAAATGTTATTCCGTCAGAATTGATTATCAATGTGCAGGTTTGCTGTGTAAATTGTTAACCGGGTAGTTTTGAGCTTGATAAGTGGGGGATGATATAGATTTATCACTTTTTTGTTCTGGATGTTCTTAAAATCAGCTTGCACTTTTCCTCATTGAAGAAAATTAAAGTTTTTGTATTTGGCACAAGATTTTGTTGTTTCTTTTGTACTAATCTGTCATCATTCAAAAGACATGTCCACAATCTCACCACTTCTTTACCACATAATTTGCTTATTTCATTCTGTGGTAGAGATTTAAACGATTCGTGGAGCATGTAGTTATAGTTTAACAATACAATGTCTGAGCTTTTGTTCGACATTCTTAGTATTATTTGGTCTTTAAGTTTCAAGCTACTGTCCTTAAGCTTGAACAAATCATGTTTTGTGAATCCTGAAGGCTGATACTTATTTGAAGGAAAACACATCAACTCTTTTGCTCATTTAACCTGCATCTATTTTGAGTGAGAGTAGAGATGCCACTTCTTATATGAGTTTCTAGCGACTAGCATATCTTTTCCATTGATTTGGCATTTTCCTCTGGGTCAATGATGATTCATAGTTAGAAATGAGTTGCATTTAACCTAAGCAGATCCAGAGGCTTTCACTAATTTGCTGATCACTTCATCTTTGTTAATCTTTGTTGAGTTGAGGCCTAAAAGGAATCAAATTCTCTTTTCTTTGTTATGTGCGTCTCTACTTTTGCCTGATTTTATCTAATTCTTTATTTGCGTTATCCAATATCGAGTTGGCCAGGTCAATGGCTAATATGAATCTGGGACTAACTAATCTTTTTGAAAGGAGATTGAATATTTCCTTTAATATGCCGTGTTTTTAGCCTTCATGAGAAATGTCTATTAGAAGGAAGTACTCGTCTGGACTTCTCACTGGACTTTTGCAGTTGAGCACTTGAGCTTCTAATTTGCCTCTAGTGACAAACTCAGTTGTTATTAATTGCTATTTTGTAATGTGCAAGCTTTTATAGGATTGTTTTCTTCATTCATGTGTAACCTTTGAGAGGATTTTTTTTTTAATCTTAGTTACAGTTTATCATTGGCGGAAAGGTTATAGTTTATTGAGTTTTCATCGCTTCTTAATATTGCCTTGTTGGAGGCACTTCTTGTTGTTACGTTGTGAGCCTTTGAGCTCTTTACCCCGAAAGTGACCTAGATATCAGTCAAAATTTTCGGTGGATCTTTATTATGAAGATGAAATAGGTTCAAGCAAGAGTGTGGTCTTAAATGAAGAATACAAGGTAAGCTAATACCAGGTTTTCGGTATAAGACATTGGTTTGTACGTGAATTGCATAGCCATTTCAAGTTTGTTTGAGAACCATATACCTATAGGTCATAAATTATCACTCCTATCTTTCAGTTGCTTATAGTACATTGGTATATTTTATAGATTCTGATCTTAACTGAGAGAGTCAAGTATTACATATTTGAAGTGCTATAGTGTCCAGGGAAAAAGAGGTCAAAGATTAGTTTATTTATTTCTTTCAAAGCTTGCCAAGTTTGTCTGTTGGTTAGAGTCATCTTTCTGTTTGAATATCTATATTTCAGGCTGCAGCTTCTGATAATAGAAATGCATGACTTGGCTCCTGATTGAAATGTAGCTATTGATACATATTGACGATGATTCATATTTTTGATGCTGTAAGTAATTCTGAACTGCTGTCATATCAACATAACATACAACATACATACCCAGTATATTCCCAACCAAGTTGGGGGGTTTGGGGGGTTAGATGCACGCAGCCTTACCCTTGTAATTATACAAAGAAGTGCCGTCATATATGGATGAAAAATGTCTCCTATGGATTTCATTACTTGTGATGAAATATTTGTGCTTGTGTTTGGAAGTTTGCTTGATGCTTTGAACAACTTTTAGACATTGGATATGTATTCTTTTTTGGCTGTTTTACCACATCTGAAGATTTGATTCATCTGTGCAGTGTTTTCTTTTGTTTATTTGTTTCTAAGAAATGAACAGCCTCAGATTATATCCTTTAACATTTCATATCCCTTTCTGTTGATTTTAGAACCTTGAAGTTGTTTCGCTTTGTTTGAGAACTTTTTTAGCTAATCATTTGTATCAAAGGAAGTTCGGTGTCCAAAAAGTTTAGCCTGTGTTTCGTCTTTGTTGCCCAAACTCATGTGTACTAGTCATTCAGATTTGCTGATGCAACTGAAGTTTAAACTGGGATATCAATACATTCATGAGATCTTTCCTGGTATTGTGTATCAAGTTCGCTATTTTGTTTGCTGGCTAGAAATTACATTGATTATGTTAACTTCTAATCCTGAAACTGAATTGACTTAATGAACGTTGGAAATGGAAAATCCATTACCCCATTCTGTTGTATATTACTTTAGTCTAGTTGGTTTCGCCTTTTGAGTTAACTTTAGGTTTCTGCCTCTGAAGTCAATTCTATAGTCGACTATCAATGAACTCGTTCGATAAAATTGGGTGTAGGTAGCTCATTTTTTGTATACATCCAATGGTATTTTCTACGTATTATAACTTGTTTAAGGCGCGTAGAGCATGTTGGCTGATGTGGAAAAGATCCTGGAGGAGAAGCTCTCTTTGTTTTACTCTGTTTTTATCCTCCATGGGTGTATAGTCATTCATGAAGGACGTAAAATGCACCTCGTCAGAATGTATAGTTATCCGTGCTTGTTTGTATTCGAATGTATCAGTTTCTATCTTATTTCCGTGTTTTTTTGGAGGGATAGAACGATTTATCATGCAGTAACAAATCGACACTCCGTTCGTCCTAACAGTCGTATTGATATTAGTCCAAGCCCTCTTTGTCTGGTGTTAAATCTCATCTTCATTTTTTGAAAGCATCAATAATGATTCTTGTTATTCGGAGTCTCTCAGTACATTGATAACCTGGTATTTTTTGCTCTGACCTTTGTGACATTTTTTTCTTGATAAACGTTATGTAAATGCCTAGATTAGATCCCTCGTTTCCTGATTTTTTTCACCAATCAGTTTAGGAGTTATCTGTCGGGTCACGTGTTCTTAAGTTGTCTTGTATAATGAAGAATAAAGGGCCAGATTTTGTCCTTAAAAACTTTCACAACAAAGATGAAAGTGACTTTGAGGGTGGTGTTAAAAGTATGGGCAGGTAGACAAGCACATGATGGCAATACCGAAAGTTTGCGTTGGAGGGAAATAAGGGGATTAATTAGTTCAATTGTATTCCAAACTGGCAATTTCCTTAGTCTGGAAAATGAAAATGACATTTTCACCAAATGGGTTCCTACTCTCTGAGTGGCAGCGTTAAAAAGGAACCAATCAAAAAAAATAAATAAATAAATAAAAGAAAGAAAAAAAGAAAAATGAAAAGCAAGTGGTAAGTATATAACTAGATTTAGTAATAGGAAAAGATGATCACATACACCCAATTAAGTAGAATTATAGAATTTGAAGATTATTTGGAAAATTATGTGGTCCAATTTGTTTGGCTAGTGATCCAACCAAGTCTAGCAAGTAATACTTTGGTTATAGTTGGTTTACAAACTTGATGAACCATTCAGTCAACATTACTTGTCATTTATTCATCGTTAACACAAAAGGTTAAATAAACTCGTTTAGGATTCCTTTGTTTCTTTTTTTTCTGGGAAACCGAAATGAGGATGTGGGATCATAGCAGCAAAATGAGCTTTCATTGTATAGTTCTTTGTGTTTTTCTTGCTCGTTTATGCCACCGGCACTCTGCTTCTTCCAAGTTGCATGTTATGAGGAGCAGGGGAAGTAATGAGACCGAGGAAATACTGAAGCAGAATCTTCAATTACTTGCTGGCTTGCTGCTGCTGGTCCAACATTCGAGGATTTACTGCTGCTAAGCTGACTCGAGAAACAAGCTTCTGAGATTGGCCGATATATTGAAGAGGTTTACAATCAATGAAGAAGAAAGTATTGAGTTAGCGTTACGATTGGTTTGTTTGATCCAGGAATTCGACCATATCAGTCTCCTTGATAAAAGGACAACAACAAATGCCAATCAAGGGAAGCATTCCGTTTTGCTTTTTCATGCAATTGGAAAGTAATAAGGGCAGTGTACTTACTACTATCATAGTGGATACACTGCCGAGGAAGAAGATTCTGCCGGAAAGATTCACATTCTGCTGCTGGTTGCTCTGTGCTGGAGAGCATGAACTATATATTAAGGGTCTAGGAGGAGATGGAGGAGAATCAACTCCAACGGGGATAATTTTCGTCCGACGACATTCTGCTTAAAAATGGTGCTCATTTTCAGGGGAATAAAAATTGGTAATGTCACCCCAAATCCAGGGGATTAAAAATTGGCTCTTGGTGCTCACTTTCATGTCTTAGACTCTATGCTTACTCATTTTTCTTTTTTTTTTTTGGAATTTGTTGACTCAAAAAACAACATTACTCAACCTCATTGACTACAGAAGTTAGTTAGGAGTAGTAATTAGTAGTGTGGCCATTTTACCACTTTGACAAATGATAATGACCCATGCAACGCGTTAATTCTTTCTTACATTGAAGAGGATGGGGAATTGTTGGAGTACTGACGAAGTCATAATTCTTGTCCAAATGTTGGAATTCCAGGCAAAAGGTTAACTAATCGGCAAAAAGAAAAAAAGGTCTTAGCCTATGTGGTAATTGTTATCGAAGTTGGAGATCATATCATAAACCAAATTGACTGCTTGATTTTTTGATGTTTACCTTATATCGAATTTCAGGTCGTCTAAAACTTCCCTTCACATTCACACCATCATTTAGTATGGACTCATGACTGTTTTTTTGGAATGAAAAACTGCATTCTTGATGATGAAGAGGAAAAATAATAGCAGTAACCTTAATAATTGTAAACGAGATATATTTTTAATTAGAAAAACAACTGATATAGAAAGCACACTTATAATTAGTTTGCACGTTGTGCGTATTTGGATTTTGGATCGATTAATTGGCTTTTCATATATAATCATACGTGTCGTGACAGCCATGGAAAGTTACATGCAACATTATAACGTAAAAATTTTGTTAAGGTTTTGGTAGGTAGACAACTAGACATGACAAGCAATTTGGCCGAAATTACTTGAAATTATCATAAGTTGATCAAAATCAAGTTTGAAAAAAACCTTCAAATTCAATTTTGACCAGCCATTTTGAATGTACAATCAGCCTTCGTGAAATCTACGTGTAGTTCACTTACCAGATATTCTGGGAATCTTGGAATCGTATCTTTGATTCAATCTCAGTCCAATTTCCAAACATCTTCGTATGCCTGTGATATCAATGTCGGAGAGAGTTTCACCTTCCGAAATTGAACACAATATACATAATATGCAAAAGAAAGCATACAAATTCTTCTTAAATTAATTTTTAACAAGTATTATGTATCAAGACAACCAAGTGGAAATAACCATAATTCTTGAGTCGTAGATGAGAATCAAGCCCTTACATAGAAGACGAAGGCGCGTAGTCCCAACCAACAAAGCTGCTCCTTGGTCTCAGACGGATGACGTCTACTATACAACAAACAAACAAATTGATTTGAAGGTTTAGGGCAAGAATGTGCAAATTACGTACCTAGTTTAATCAAGGACAATCTACTTCTAAACATGGATTGGACCCAAATGAACATATTAGTCCACAATGGACTAGTTTTGGGGGTTGATACTTTGAAGAACTAAATATATCCCTCTTGTCAGATCAACTAATAACGCGGGAAAATTTTCTAAAATAAGTAAATAAATAACAGGGGCAATAGAGGTAATGAATACAATAATAGGCCAGATGAACACATGCAACTTCAAGGATACAGATGATGAGATGAATGACGCCAACCACAGCACTTGTTCAGAATAATTTTAGTTTACCATTTACGAGCATAAATTGAATAAAAACAGTAAAATTGTGAGAATTAATTACAATAATTGTCCTCCTACTTCACTCTAAGGTTAGACTTTGACTAAAAGTTCATTGAATTTTCATTTTATTCCTCAACGCTGATAACTTAGTTTTAATTGGTCCCATTGAATATTACGCTAATACGATTGTGTATGATACACACTTAAAGACTGGGATTACCATGCAAAATTACTTGGTTACCCCCTGATTCACAATGAATAGCGTTGTAATCGTATCGTATCATATTTGGATTAGAATAAGTAATTGTACCAATTGAAACCAAGATAAATCAACGTGAGGTAGAAAAAACTAATTTTTTGAGCCTTCAAGAAGAAATCAAACTGTGGAGTAAAGTTAGTGGATACTCGACATGATTGATCTTGATTTTAGGGTTTCTCCACCACATTTGGAGCGCAGGGCATGACAGGTAATACTATGATAAATCCAAATTTTTAAAGTGATCAGAAAGTGGCGCTCTTCAAATGAAAAGTAATTTTGTAACCTAGATCTTACATCCACAGAGAAGACAAATTTTATTACTCAGTTATTATCTCAAAAAAATAATTCGTATTGAGTTTTGAGATTTATACTAGTTTTAGTATCAGTTTGAAAACTCAATGTGGACTTTTTTTGGGACGAAAGAAGTACTATTTCACGTAATTACAAAAATAGTACAAATCTCAAAATTTAACATGGACTATTTTTTTGGGACAAAGGGATTATTAATTTACATAATTACAAAGGGTTTATAAGGTTAACCTTAATGATCATTATTACCTTGATATATAAAACAATAGACCAAAGGATTATTTATAACTCTCTAACAAAGTTAATTATTATTATTATTATTATTGTTTTGGACGGAGGGAGTATTATTTTTCTTTAACAAGCAAACTATTATTTTTTGACAATTAAAAAATGAGCATATCTAATATAGTTAATTAGTTCCTTCACAAAGAAACCTAAAATGTTCTTAAACGAGTCTACCAACTTAAAACAGAATCAGAAGAAAAAGAATTCTGTTGTCAACTTAGATAAAGTTTTACACTTTTACTAGCTTGCTAATGCTAACAGTATTTAAAAAAGAGGAAAAAATAATTCAATGGGTCACAGCACACACAGTAAAATGGTCCAATTTGAAAAAAAGAGAAAACAAATTGCAGTTTTTGGTGGGAATTCCGGTCTGCAAAGAAGTTAATCATCCCTAACCCACCGTCTCACGTCTGCTTCATTTCTGGAAAAATGCCATTTCTAGGGTCCTTTTCTCCTTCTCCCTTCTCTCATCTCTTATCTCTCTCTCTCTTTCTCTCTCTCTCTCTCTCTCACACACACACACACACTAACAAAGAACAAGACCATTGTAGATAGCTTTTTTCATCAGCTTAATCACCATTAGTAGGCTTAGACAAAGAAAGAAAGCGATATAAATAAAAGGGGCTACCCCTTTAGCTTTAAGTTTGATTTCATATCATATATTACTACAACCATTTTTATTGTTTTGGATGAAGGAGACTTAGAAGGGATTCTTTGGAAGTCGTGTTAGCTTTCTGGAATTCACCGGAAAATAGCAAAAAAAAGAAAAAAAAATATCCCACAACACCCAGGTTTGTGTTTTGCATCAATCTTTTCAACAAGAAAAATAAGAAAAAGAAGAAAGAAATAAAGGGAATCTAGCCTTCCATCAATCCACAACCCCAGCCAAAACTCAGCCCTTTTTTTTTCATGTTTTCTTTATCATTAAATTTTTTTGCACAGTGTTTGTTTCATATCCATGCATATTTTTGGCACAGTTTCAAAGGTTTTCCTATTTTTTGGATGTGATGTCAAAAGGGGAATTCTTTTTCTTGGCTTGCTTCTGCGAAAGTTGCGTATGGAACTCTGAGTTCACAAGATGATGTAGATCTGCTCAGGAAAATGTTAAATTTTATGATCTTTTTCACATGACTTGAGAGGGATTTTTCATTTTTTTGTTCTGTTTTGTCACCTGGGCTTTCCCCCCCAAAGATGTGATTTTTGCATCATGATTTATAGCTTGAGCTTGTATAAAGTTCTTACATCAATAAGTTTCTTTCTACTTTTTTTTTCCTTATACGTTCAAGCAAGCTGGTCTTAGATCCCTAATTATCAAAATCTTTCTGGGTTCAGAAAGATCTTTTGCTTTTGCTTCTTCAACTTAATTTCTACATTCTTTTTGGGGCTTCTGAAATAAGTTATTTTTCCCTCTTGAATCTAGTGAAGAGTTATCAAAATGGAGGTAATGAATTGGATAATTTTCTGGGTTTTTGAGTTGCGTTTAGTCTTCATAGAGAAACAAAAGAGTTGATCTTGAAGCTCATGGGTTTTTTTTTTTTTTGCTTTTTCCCTTGTCTAGCTTGAAGATCTTGAGCAAAAATTAGTTGATCTGAACAAAAATGTCTACTTTCTTGGGTTTTTGATGATTCTCGAGTTGCGAATCTTGAATTATGATGCACTTCATCCATCATCTATCTCATTATGATCTCAAAGATTTTAATTTTCTGGCAAGTCTAACATTTTTCTGGGGCTAGAGATCAAGTTCTTCATCTTCACATCTCAATTTTCATTCTTCTTTGAAAATTTGAGTCAGTTAGGATGTTTCTTAGCCCCTTTTTTTCCCATTCAAGAATGATTACGGAGTTTTCCAACATTTCTCCCAAGGTTTCCATCATTTTGCTTCATTTTTGTTTTTTCATCATTTTTCTTCATAGTTTCCCTTGATCAGATACAATTCATGCTCCAGATGACCATTGAAAAACACAATTCGTTGAGCTCCACTTTCCAGTTTAGATCTTTCAGTGGACGATTGATTGAGAGCTTTATGCATGCTAATTAAAGTTCAGATCTTGTTGAAAAATGTTGAAATTTAGTGAAATCAGATTTGTTTATGCCATCTCCAAACATTTCCTCCTTCAAATTTTCAATTATTTCGCAATTGTTAATCTCCAACATGGTTTTCATAGGTAGGAAAAAAACAAAAATGGGATCTTTTTTAGTCTTGTTGTGGCCTGGACCTTCAAATGTAGTCAAATCAGATATACTTTTTCTCTTTCATTAAGAATCCCATCCAGATTTTCTCATGTTTTAATTTTAAGGTCAGATTTGGCAGTTTCCAACATAGGGTTGACTATTAGGCCTAGAACAAGATGTTTAAAAAAGAAGAGATTTTTGGAGGGTTAAGACCAGAAAGGGTTGACTGATGTAAGAACTGCTTGGTTTTCGTATGTTGATGTGTAGGATCGGAAAATGGGAAGAGGAAAGATTGAGATCAAGAGGATCGAAAACAACACGAATCGGCAGGTGACATTTTGCAAAAGGAGGAATGGATTGTTGAAGAAAGCCTATGAACTCTCAGTTCTCTGTGAAGCTGAGGTTGCGCTCATTGTTTTCTCTAGCCGTGGCCGCGTCTATGAGTATTCCAACAGCAAGTAAGATTTTTCAGTTCTTTTTTTTTTTTGTTCACATTTTCACCTCCAACATTAATTATAAGTCTGCAATAAAGTTGAATTAACAAGTGCAAATGAATTCATTTCTATAACTTTTTTCTTAATTAATTCAAGTCCTTTCGAGAAAGAAAAAAGATTTTTTTTTGTTTTTTTTTAAGAAATACTTGATTAAAGAAAGTTGATTTTCCCTGGACTCTTTTGTTGGTGGGAAAATCTGGGAAATTAAAAATATGGGCTATGAATGATTGATCCTACCTTTTTTGCTTTTTTCATGCATAATGTTTGATCATCACTTCAGTATAAGGAGAGGCACTGCCATTTCCGAATTGGTAAATTATGACCTGAAATGGTGGAGAGAACAAGTTTGGATTCTTGTGTCAAAATTGAATTTCTCAGCATCATGTGAAGATGTTTTTTGCACAATAAATGGCAAACGTTTCTTTTGTTGATAATGTCAGCCATTTCATACGGTTTTTAATGTTTATCCGAGTATGAATGTTTTAGCACTTTCATCCAGCATTTAGTTGTTTTGGTTCAAATGCTGAAAAAAATTCCAACAAACCAAAGTAAAATGGAGTATGTTTTGATACCGAAAAGAAGAAATTAGTTACTAGAATTTAAGATGTGTGTGGATGTTTTTCCCATTATTTGAACTGCTTGCTTTAAAATGTTATACTCCCTCTATCCCAAAATTATTGTCCAATTTGAGATTTCACTTTTAGTACAATTTGAACTAAAAATGAAAATCCAAACTGGGCAATAATTATGGGACGGAAGGAGTACTAAAACTTCGCTTTATTGAACATGCTTGTTGTACATGTGGTAAGCTTCAGAATAACTTAATTACAAAACAAATTACATTGTATAATTCAATTTTGAATAAAGATCAAATATTAGTGAGAATGTATCTGATCATATACACAAACTTCAAATCCATTTCCATGATTTGAATAAAAATTTTGTTGTTTACAAATTTCCTTGAATGCTAACTGATGAATGTCTCTGCAAACAATATGCTAAGCCATATATCATTGTACAAAATCTCGATAAATCTATTGTAAGGAAACTTAAACTGTAAATGGAAATGTGAAAGACATGAATCTATGTGCAGATTTTCTTGCTTTCTTTGATAACTATGGTAAAAGTGTAAGCAGCCAGCTGTTTACAAATTACAAGTAGTAGACTACACACAGTCACACACTGGTAGTTTCTTGGAAGGAATGCAGAAGCAGCATTTACATATGATGAAGTTGATGATTCAGAAATACCAAGAAAAGGATGCATGCATATTAGCAGTACAGACTTTACACTGTATATGAACATATATCACCAAAACAAGTGAAAAGGAAACTGCAGTTTACTACAGATTTCTCTTTTGATTCTTTGCCTATTTCCAACGTTGTAGGCTTCAATTTTGCCTCCTCTATTTTTTCTTTCTTCTTTTACACAAGTTCAAATACTTGCAGATAACTAGTTTTGCTAGCTGTTTCCTTTTGAAATACAAATGAGAGCTTCCTCATATATTATGTTCCTTTTCCTTCTCTTCCGGAAAACCCTCTACCTAATCATGATTATCATAATTAAAAAATGGTAAATCTGAGTGTGAAATGAACTGATTATCAAGGTTTGCTAGCAGCTGATTGCATTTCCTTTGCTGTTTTCAGAGTTGAGATTCTTATAGTTTTTAAGTGCATGTGTGTGTCTGTGTGTTTGTTTTATTTTATTTTTCTTATATGTATTTTCATAATATTCAGATATTGTACTGCCTCCCACCATGAAACTAAAATTGAAGTTCAACCCCACACTTGTCAAGTCCCACTAATTGATTCCTAGGTTTTGATTTTGTTTTGACTCATATTGTCAGGCTTGACCTTCACTTTTTGTAGTCAAACGTATTATGTCCATCACTGTAGAAAAATCCTTTCAAATGATCTAAGTCATATGATAGGTCTAAATCATCATTCCTAAAACGGTATAATTAACCAATCTAAACCTATAAACCCCACAATAATTAAGGACAAAATGGTCATATGATAACAGAGTTGCATAATCATTTTTGCACTAGTTCAAACTGAAAGAGAAAAAGATCACGTTTTTCAAAACTATCACATTTGTGGTAAGTTTTCTTGCTGAATCATGACTTTCACATTTTAGGTAGATCATGGAGCTGTGGTGATGTCAGACAATGTTCATCATTATATTGAACCCAACAAGTTTACTAGTTATTATCCATTGGTTAATTCATTCATGATATGGTCAATATCAGCTATTTGATCAACATACACATTTTGCAATCTTTTCAATCAAATCAGAAAAATGGATTCAACTTTGATGAATGGTAACTATGAATTCTCTCCACCCTCATTGCTTCCGTATTCGCGGACCCTTTTGTTTTTTCATACATTCGGAATGAAATCTGTAGAACAGATAGAAAAGATACCTTAGAAGACCGTCATCAGAATGCTGTCAGTTCATTATGGCACTTCACTGTCACTTCTCTCAATTTCTTACACCAAATTATACACTTATTAATCACTCCAACAATTAAACCATTATCTTACATTATTATCAAATATTACTGTTTTCAATTTAGTCGCATGAACTCATCAGCCAATCCTTTTTTTTTTTTTGTTCTCAGTAACAAATGTTGCATCCACAATTCATATTATTAATTGCATTCCTCTTTCTTTCTCTATTAAATTTGATGCAAGATTTCCTCGTCATTCTTTTGCTGGACTCGTTTTTCGGTGCTCCTTCACTAGTGGAAGGATCCATTCTTTATGGTAGAGAAGTTGGAAAATAATGTTACTGATAGATTTAGTCTGCCATTTGAGCTTTATTCGTTTGATTGGTAAGTTTCAAATCAAAAAGGACCATTTGAGTTTGACACATTTCTTTTCTCCTAGAGTGGGACTTGTGATCATAAAGAATGATCAAACAATTTACAAGAATGATGCGACTCTTTTAATTAATAGCTTCTTGGTAATTGTTGTTCACAGTTTTGGTTTCGTTTTACCATTGATCTATCATCATACTAATTATGACCTTTTGCTTTGGATACATACAGCATAAATAATACTATAGATCGGTACAAGAAGGCAACTTCAGATGCTGCAAGTACATACACTACTCAAGAGATCAATACTCAAGTAAGTCATTGATTTCATTAATTAACTCTTTAAAATACATACTCTAATTAAGGTAAGTGATCTTTATATATTGGTCCATGAACTTGTCTAATCGATTCAAATTTCCGGACCTTCACTTTGTGGAAGAGTTTCAATTAGTCCATCATAATTGTTTCTGAGTTTTGTTTGTCTGAATATACCTATCAGGTTCATTTCATTACAAGAAAAAAGGCTTTAAAAGGCTTTCAGTAGCCACACTTTTCTTTTCATCAAGTTGATTCTAAATGTCATCCATTCCAATATGTTAATAGATTTAATGATCTTTAAAGACATTTATAACTGTCATCATTGTAAATTCGTGACACAATTAAGTAACCTTTTACTATTGAATAATTAAATATCTTCCAACCATATACATATATATATATATATATATATAGCTTTCTGATCATGTCCCGTGATTGATTTGGTTTGATTTTCCAATTGAGCTGTACTAGCCTCCAAGAAAAAAATGTTTGAAGATGGTCCATTGAATTGAATTTTTATTATCAAAGATAAGGGACAAAAGTAATTGGGGGGCTAATTCAAGGGGCCACTAGTGTCATTTACACTTAAGCATTTGTCCTGATTTTGGTGTCAACTGATTGGTCTGATTTGTATTTTGCATTTTTTCCTTCTGGGTTGGTGTAATCAGTTTTACCAGCAAGAATCAAAGAAGCTGCGCCAGCAGATACAAATGATTCAGAATACCAATAGGTGAGTTATTCTTTTATTTTTTTTCTTTTTTTATTTTCAAGTTAGTAAATTCTAATTTGAAGTTTTTAATTTTATGATGCTTGACCCTTCACAGATTCATAAAAAAAAAAGTGAAAATTTTAGCATTTCTTTGTGTAGTTAAGTTTCTTTCAATAATTTTTGTTATATAATGCAAGCATAAATGTTTATCTCGCAGTAATAAATGAACCTATTTCAAAAATAATACTTTTACTTTATTCCCTAATGAAATTCTTGCTCACAGACATCTAGTGGGAGATGGTTTGAGCTCCCTAAATGTGAAGGAGCTTAAGCAGCTGGAGAACAGGCTTGAGAGAGGCATTTCAAGAATTAGGTCCAAAAAGGTTTGCCTAATTAATTTCTTAAGTGCCTGAAATTTTTAACATTATAAACTATAGAAGGATAACATTATTATGTAGTAATTCCTTTAAACGATGACAATGTTGTTCATTTTTGTTTGCTCAAGCAGCATGAGATGATTCTTGCTGAAATTGAAGCTCTACAGAAAAGGGTAATACTTTGAACATTTTATTTTCCATGTTTTTGAATATCATAATAAGATTATACTCTCTCCCTCTCAATATAACAAATAGTATCCAAATTAATACGACTTTTATCTTGGGACGGATGGAATATATGAAACCTACGAAATTAATCGAGTGGTTAATAAGTTTATCCTCCGTTTTTTCCTCTTGTTACAGGAAATCCAGCTGGAACAAGAAAATGCTTGTCTCAGAGGAAAGGTAAAACATGTCCAAGCACTCTTAGCCTTCAATCATTTTACTTAATCAATTTATTCTGAACCGAAGCTCATCTGAACCCAATTGCTTATAATCAAAATAACCCACAAATAGATTGTTTCAATGTCGTCCTTTGAATTTGATCAAAGTGAAGAGTGATTAATCAGTGTAGGGTATCAAACTGTGATGAATTTATTGCCTATTAACGCTTTAAAATTTGATGATGGTCTATTTCAGCAGATCACCGAAAATGACAGGCTCCAGCAGCTAAGCATGGTGCCTCCTGGACAAGATCATTACAACGAAATGCATGCTTACTTTGCTCGCAACTTACTGCAGCTCAACATGATTGAGGGTGTCCCTGTCTTTTCGCCCAACGTCGACAAGAAATCGCTTCAACTTGGGTACGTAGTGTAAATAATCTGAATATATCATTATCTCAATGATGCAGTTTTTCATAAACGAGAAAATGCTACTAATTTTAAGTCACCTTTTATCATTTGGGGTCAATTGTTTCAGGTTGGATCTACTAGGATGATTTCTACACCTTAGAAAGATGGCAGCTGCCATTTTCATCATATTTATCTTGGTACGTATAACTGCCCCTTTTTTACTTCTCATCATCTATACGTTGATCATCTGATTTGCAATTTCAATCATCTTCTTTTTTTCCCCCTTTTTTTTGCATTTTTTTTTGCGTTTTATGTTTTGTTATAGTTCAGTGTTTCGTTATTCATTATTCTTCCTTTTAATTTTTTTTGCCAGGTGAAATCAGGAGGGTACTCAATTTATTTGTTCATCAAGTATAATAATAATAAGAATGTATTAGTGTGCTTTTCATTTTAATTTTTGAAAAACCATTTGAATCATTATCTACTATTGTGTGGCTGAAGTGGCAAAGTGTGAACAATTATGTTGAAGAAACCATCTCTTTAGCAAGCATAATACTATTCATAATTATGTCCATGATTTTCTACAAATGTGATAACTAGCAAATCTGATCTCTCAAACTCGTACCTAGCTATCCCTCCTGTTCTTTGGTACAGTTTATCTGTTCATCAAATAATGTATGAAGACATTTTTAAATGTAAAAAACATTGACATGAAAATATATAACCTCGTTGGATATAAGACTTATCCAACTCGCAAACTCCTAAGGAGACCAGAATATTATTTTCTTTGAAGAAGGTACCTGTAATATACTATGTTAAGATTCCTAGACTAGTATATCGCATTTTAAAGAGACCAAAATATGGTTGTTATAAGACTCCGCTGAATGTTAATCTCTCAAGTTTTGCCAGAACTAAATTGCAAAATACACTAGCAATCGTATATAACGTGTTACATATACCATGTCTCTATACAACCAAGATCACAAATCTCAGATCGACCAATTAAAGTTGCAACAAACTATATATATAACATCAGTCGTTAATATAATGTTATTTTCAACCCTGAGTCCTAAATTGACATAATGTGTCCTTTTCTTTTCCTACATAAAAGATATAACTTTCAATATATAAATAACTCAAGCAATTTACGAAATGTTTTTAAGTTTACTGTAATAGACAAGTCCAATACAGCATTCTCATGACACATAAACTCTCTAAAAGGTGAACTTCATACACACAAAATGTTGGGGATTTATCCAGAGGAGAAAACACGACACATAGTCCAATAAGTAAGATAAGACCCATTTGAACTCAAAAACTCAAGCTAATGGGTTCTGAGACTACCTTACTTATTAACTAATTCACATGTCCTCATGCTTCCGATGTGGGATTCATAATCCTTGCCATATGACCCTCAACATTCTCCCCTGTCATGGACAATTTCCACATCGGACTTCCAAATTATCTTGACGAGCCCAAATCTGTACTCCACCTGAGTAACTGGGCCGCCCATCCCTACGCTTTCGCTCGTAATGGGCCTTTGACTGTCTGGGTTCAGTCAGATCAACCGAGATAATTTGGGCTAAATCACCCACCCAACTGACCCAACCTGGGCTCTGATACCACTGTTGGGGATTTATCCAGAGGAAAAAACCCGACATGGAGCCCAATAAGTAAGATAAGACCCATCTGAACTCTAAAGCTCAAGCTAATGGGTTCTGAGACCCTTACTTATTAACTGATTCACATGTCCTCATGCTTCCGATGTGGGATTCATAATCCTTGCCACATATGACCCTCAACACAACATAATTCTCATTAGAGCAACATATTGTTGGAAAAATTGAATGCGGTATTTGTGATGAACAATGACATCTCTAAAAAATAAGAAAATCCGAGGCTCGTGAAGACACGATTTCCTTAAAACATATTTGCCCCCTCCTAAGGTGCTAGAGGATTGTGGGCAATTGTTTCCAAGGATACAACGGAGAAACGTGAAAATTACTTAGCACTAAGTAGCTCCACCGACGAACTGGAACTTAGAAAATATTTGATGAACACCAAGGAAAAGGAAGAAAAAGCTAAGGCAACATTGATGAAGAAATTGAGTTACTTAGAATTAAACAAATGAGCCACTATTTATATCATTAAGAGACCTTTTGAATTCAGCAAAAAAACCCAGCGGTTTTCTCATGTTAATTCACTTTAATTGTAGATGAATAATTGTGAGGCAAATGTTTAAACATTTGTAACTACTCAACCATTTATCTACTCATTTAAATGAATTAATCATACAAATTCAAAACTGAAACGGTCAGCTTTATTGCAGCAAATTAATTCCTGTGCTAAATGAAATATTATATTCATTAACACCCTCATAACCATTGGTAATCAATCCGGTCAAATTCGGATTAAATGAAAACCATTTGGAATTAATTCTAGCAGCAAAAGTCTCTGAAAAATTAATCTGAGACAAAGCAAACGTGAGTTGATCAGATCCACGAGAGTTCGGTCCGATATTTGTGTTCGCAAGTCGGGCACATACATGAGTTAAGCTAACTTCGATAGCATAAACTCAACTTTTCCAATCTATGAGAAAACAATTCTCATTCATATTAATAACTCATTTCTGACACATATTACTCTTGATAATATGACATCAACATATAGATAATTTTCATACTAAAATACACACACATTCTTTATTTTTATAGCACCTCCATGTAACCTTCAAGTTTGACAAATTCCTAACGTTATTGTCTTTATTTAGAGCAACAAAGGGTAGGTACTAGAGAGTAAATACCATGTGATGATGATACTGATACACTCCTCCATCTTGAAAATTAGTCTACCTTATCGAACTAAAATAGGACAATAAAGCATACTATATTTCTATATTTCTAAGTCGGAGAGAATTTTGTAATATTGATCACATCACAGCACACCTCCACCTTTTTTCAATTTCTTGTTCGGCTCTTGCCAGTTGCTGTCTCAACCTCTGGATTTCATTTTGAGAACTTTGCTGCTCTTTAGAGTGATCATTAACCTCTCTTTGAAGTCTCTCCAGGTCCTGTTTCAACTTTGCGATAATCTCTTCGTCCTCTCTCCTTCAGCTTCTCATTAACCTACGTACCAACAAAAAAAAGTGTTACAAGTTCATGCCTTCGGGTTTGATAATTAAGTGGTATAATATGATACATATATATGACACATATATATTGGGTAGATTCAAATAGTGTATTGCAATAGGTCATACGACACTTTAAAATACTACTCCCTCCGTCCCACAAAAATAGTCCATATTGAGTTTTGAGTTTTGTATTATTTTTAGTACAAATTTGAAAACTCAATGTGGATTATTTTTGTGGGACAGAGGTAGTATATACTATTTTTTTTTGTTCAAAAAAAAAAATAGAGTCTAATTTAAAAAATAAATCTATATAAATTGGATGGGTTGATCTTTTGAATTTAAAAATTAATATGAAAAACTAATCTACTTTTTGGATAATATATAAATCTCATATGTCTAATTTTGAAATCTTATGTTTTAAACTATTTTTAAGATGGAGATAATATCTCATTAAATATACCAAGCACATTACAAATAACCTAATGAGACAATTATTAATATAGTCTCTTCTAAGATTGATACACACTTTTGTACCTCGCATGGACACTCATTGAGAAAATGTCTACTTATACACGCAATCGGATACTTCCTAGATCACACATGTAAGGGTATTTGATAACCCAAAATTTGTTGGAGTGCATTTACACGTACAAGCAGACATACAGAATAATACAAATTGACATATACTCCCTCCGTTCCATAGTTATTGTCCAGTTTGAGTTTTCAGTTCTAATTCAAATTATACTAAAAGTGAAATCTCAAACTGGACAATAATTTTGGGACAGAGGGAGTACTAAGATCTGTAGTTGTCTTCCCTCCAAACATCCCCTTCCCAAATAATTATATAGAACCACGTCTTTAAATGTTTAGTTTTAAAATGTAGCTTCTTTCTTGAGAAATTTTACTCGCACAATTAACCATATATGTTTAGTTTGTTGTTATAAATACAATGCCGAAACTCAAATTTATTTTGTATACATTTCTATGTTGCTCCTTTTGGGTTAAAAAAAAAGAGAAGAAGATGCATCTTAAAGACACATCTCCAGACTCTAATGATGGGTCAAAGCAGCATAAGAATTTGTATTCTCTTTCTCCGCCCTAGCAAATTTTGTACTCCCTCCGTCCCATAATTATTGTCCACTTTGCCCAAAAAATTTTGTCCCAAAATTATTGTCCAATTTGACTTTTTATGGATCAAGTTACACATTTATCCTTAGTAAAAAGCATTATCCATAAAATCTTAATGATTAAACAATTACTTATGTAGGGGTATATCCGGTTGTTTAAGGTAAAATATAGTTAAGTTTGACCAAAAATAAAATCTTTCATTTTAGTAAAACTGGACAATAATTATAGGACGGAGGGAGTACTTGGTTTACTCTAAATTACATGGCAAAATAGACAGTTTTTTCTGGGATAAATGGAGTAAGATTGAAGAAGTAAGCATCATATACAAAAAAGAAAACAGTTTTAGGGTATACCGTTATAGCAATGCGTCGCTTCTAAGTTTTGATCATTTTCTGATGCTTTGTTCACTTTCAGTTTTGAATTCTTGGAATCCCATTTAGCAGTTTCATTCTTTCAATTAATTAATTAGTACATTGAAAAATAGGATTATATACTAAATTTTGTTACTAAAACACAACTTTCTCCCTCCCATTAAAATGATTCAATTTTGGAAATGAGAAATTTATAAATTATGCGTCCCATCGAGATTTTTATGTAGCATTCTAAAGATAGTAGTAAAATGGATAAATGAACATAATGTTTGACCTATTCCCTTATGATAATAGTTTTAACTTCTAATTTCTTTTATAGTCCAAAATCTAAAAATTAGTTTTATAAATTTGACTATTAAAATGAAAAGTAAATTTCAGAAGCTAAACATATAGAGCACTGACCTGGAGTTGAACAAATAGCTCACGTGTGTAGGGTTTTCCTCCATTTTTCCACAACAGTATTGGTAATGAGAGTAAAAAGTTGTTGGCGTTGCTCAGCATTGGTCTCCTTATCTTTTGCCCGATTATTATCTGTCTCGACACTTTTCAAGTAGATTCTATATTTAATCCATTGAGAGAATCAAAATAATTAGTTTTTCCGTGTACAAATATATTTTGGGACGGATGGAGTTTTAAAGATTAAATTAAACAATAAATACAAATGACCACTATTTACACATTATGAGAATAGATGAAATATATATATATATATATATATATATATTCAAAAAATCGAGTTCAATCACATTGTTAGAATTTTTTTCTTTCGGAGAGAGAGTAGCTAAATTAGCTTTAAAGCCGGTGGACAACAACTAGCCAAGTAAGCATCCAAAGTTTCATCTTCTTCTAGTTGATCACCACCAGTAAAAGTGACAATCATAAAATCAAGAATTCGTTCTCCAAACAAATCCTTCAAAGTTTCAACAGTAGCAACTTGTTCGTCACTGAATCGAACTTTCAATGACACAACAAAAAGAAGAGCATGAATGCCATCTTAGCCATTTCGATGCATCTAACAATCTCTTTCTCGACATCTTCAGGCTTACTAGTAGAATCGAACAAGCCTGCATTAGTACCATCCAATCATTACATATGCATTAAACTCTCATAA